GGGAGGGCTGGCTTTCGAGGGGGTTGGTCCTTCTGAGACCAGTGGAAGGGCCACTGGCCACTGCTTCTCTGTGGCCCTGAATTTGAGCTGGTACACAGAGACGCTGCCATATGGCATCTGTCAGAGCTGACAGGAGTGACTCATGGGAGGGTCACCAGTGTTCTAGAGCTGCCTGGGACAAAATGACTCACTGGATCTGCCCCTGGGCCTGGTCCCACAGCTGCCTAACCTCAGCCTTTCTTAGGGGAAGGTCCTCAGGCCCAGACTGTCCACTCAGAGGAGGGGGCTTCCTTACCTCTGGATCAGAAGGAACCCAAGAAATTGCTCTTCCAACCTCCCTTATCTCACAGATAAGGAGAGGAGCCTGGTGACAGGAACGGGCTTGCCTTATATCTGGTTTATAGCAAAAGGAGGTTTTGTACCTCAGCCCAGGGTCCCTACCCCGTTACCTTCCGGCTACTACACATCCCCAACTCTCAGCTTCCCCACTCGGTCTGCTCCCTTCCCACAGGGCACCCGGCTCTTCAACACTGAGTCACGGATTCCATGGTGTCTTGGTAGGACAGTTACTCTTCTGGAAGAACATCTACCTTGTAATCTTGTTTCCAAGGAAGGACAACATGATCTGGTAGAGTTTGTGGTCCCCACTGACCATAATGTCAATAAACAATGTAAAATTTTGTTTGCTTTTCTGTTAAAAGAAGCATTCCTTTCCTGGCCAACTTCAGTTCTGTAAAGAAACAAAACTATAGGCCAATAGGATTAAGGGATAAATAGTTGTCTGGCAGAACAATGGAGCAAACCATGACTTCAAGGGATGGCATCCACACCAGCCTTGGGAGCTGGGAGTTGGCAAGGGGCCTGGGTAACAGGAAGGGTGAGGAAGACCAGGGAAACTGCACTGAGCCAGGTCAGAGAGTGGGGCCAAATGGGGACAGATGCGATGAATCTGTGGTCTGCTAACCCCCTCACCTCATTGTACCCCACTACCAAATCCATGTCCTCAGTGGTCCAGAACCCCACAGGCATTCTGGAATGGCACTTGGGAGCCACTCCCCTCCCCTGCTAACACTTGGTGTCAACCAGCACTCCCCAGCTGCCGCTTGGAGTCCTGGGTTGTGTTGGGAGACTGCCTTCCCCAGGGGTGTATGCATTTTAATAAGGAACTCTTGCCTCTGGCAGGCCCTCCTCCTGTCTTCAGGTAAAGTGCAGGTGGAGAGGGCAGGTGGGACACAACAGGAACCTGTGACAGAGTCTTTGAAGGACTGATCTCCCACCGGGCCTGAGAAGAGCTTGGAGTTTTGTCTTTCCTTTTGGGGAGACACAAAGTCACCAGAGAGTGGAATTTCCTCCTGCTTTGTAGATGTGGAAATGGAGACTCAAAGTTCCAAACCCAAGGTGCAGCTGGGCCCAGAAGAATCCCAGGCCCCCAGGCCCAGCTCTGAGAGGAACCAGATGAACAAGGCCTGGAGCTGGGTCCAGGCTCTGAGAGGGGCCCCTTCCTCCCTCCCTTCACCCCCTCTCCAAGGCTCCCCAGGGAGAGGCTGCCCCCTCCAGCAGACAGCAGCTGGGGGCCTTGGGCAGCCTGGGAGAGGGCTGGGGCCAGGGCCAGAGGAGGCGGCCAGAGAGAGCCAGCAATACCAAGTCCCGTGAACAGAAATGACTCAGGCTGGGTGGCTCAGCTGGCCGGCCCAGCCCACATTCCGGGCCTTTGTCCCCCGCCTGCCCGAGCCCAGCCTTAAAGGGCCAGCTCTGAAGGCAGGAGCGGGCCACCCTGCCAGCCACCTGCACCCCCTTTTACCCTGACCCCTCACTGAGTGTCTCTTGGTCTCCAGGTTGTGTGTAAAAAGGGTAACAATGCCGCAGGATGCAGGGGTTCAGACCTTTAGAAGCCTGGGGCGATAGGGAGGGCCCTCAGATCCGGTCAACCCCGCTCAGCCTCTGTTGCACCGAAACAGGCCCAGAAGGAGTAAGAAAACCTTTTCCCGCTTTGTAGACTTTGCTCCCAGGAGGGGTTCCCTTTCACAGCAACTTCCCCACAACCACCTGTCGGGTCAGCACGGTCCCAGGGGCGGGCGCAGGAGCTCGGACGAACCGGGACCCCTCAGGGCCGGCTCCTGCCTGGCTTATTCCTGACCTCTCAGCGCACACACTTTTGCTGGGTGCTGGGCTGGCCTCTCTAGACCTGCCCTCCCGGCCCGTTGGGGTCTCCCAGGGCTCCAGCTCTCCCGGGCGGTGCTGTCAGCGGTTCCCGGGGGAGAAGCGCCGCCCGCAGCCGGCGCGGGGGACACTTCTTTGGAGCCCGCGCGCCACCGTGTGGACGCTCCGGAGATCGGCGCCTTCTGGAGCCCTGAGGGGCGCCCCCGGAGAGGCCCAGAGCTCCCAAACCCAACTCAGTTACTGGGCGGTCAGGAATTGGTACAAATTGATAAAAGAAGGTGCTAAATTAAGGAGCAAAGAATGAAGTCTGCCCCCTCCTATGCTCACTGCGAACCCCACATCCTTTGAGAAACAATGGCTCTTACATCAACTTAGCAAAAGCCCATCACTCTATTAAAACTCAGCAGTGGGGCCCTTCCCTGGTGGTGCAACGGGTTAGGACGCAGTACTGCAAGCTGGCCTGCTGGCCGCAGCTGCCTCAGTGTGAGTTCGATCCCTGTCACCTGAGGTGACCTACCTGGCGTGGCAGACCTCTCCTGACCCGCCGGCTGCTCCCCTCCGTTAACCTGCCTGCTCTGCTCCCCGCTCTGTCTCTGGTGAATCCTCTCATTGCCCCTGCACCTCAGCTCTGTACCCCAGTTCTGTATGAATAAATCATTCTTAAAAAAAAAAAGCAATTTAGCAATGTCTGGAGTTGGTGGGTTGGTTGGTTTTTTCTTTTGGAGGCTGGGGAAGATCTGTGTCTTCAAGTACCCACTCTTTTCCCCCAACTCCTCACTTATTATTTGGTCTATGCTCAAAACTCATCCTAGGAAGTTTTGGGTTTAAGGCTTGTTCTACTGTTAATATGTGCATGTTCAGAACAGGGGCCTTCCTTGAGGCTTTCAGGATGATTTCACAGCTTATTAGATCTTGAACTCAGAGCTGGGTTTTAGGAATAGAAAGTAAAAGCTAGGGGCGCTCCCAGGTGGTGCAATGGGTTAGGGTGCAGCACTATGAAGCTCTCCGCAGCCACTGCAGCATGAGTTTGATCCTTTGCCTCTGACCTGTACCCCAGTTCTTGTGTACATAAATATATAAATTTCCAGAAAAAAAAATGCTTGTGGCTACCATGAAGAACATGGAGGCATAGAGAGAAGCAGTGGATTCAGCCAAGGAGGGAAATGGGGGATACGGGGGATCCAGACCAGCAGGACTGAGACAAGTTCAGGATACACAGGAGCAAACCCCTCTGAGGTCTGCCTCGTGCAACCATCCGCACAACCATCCATATTTCCACTCATGCATCTGTCCGTCTGTCCACCCATTCAGCCATCCGTGCACTCAACAGATTCCCTGTTGTGGCCATCTGCTCAATTAGCTTCTCTATCTTCAGGCTGTACCATCTTTCAATTCTTTGCCTTCCTCTTCTTTCTTACTACTGATTATTTGTTACCCGACCCTAAATCCACATCACAAATTTTCAGTGAATCTTCCTACTTTAGGCCTGCCTGAACAAATCTATCCCAAACACCAATCCTACATTGATGTCCCTAAAATGTACCCAGTTTTCTTGAGTGAAATATTTTGCTACTGCAAAATGTTAGTAGCATCCACTCTGAATTTCTTAGCCCAGCTCAGAACCCTACGGCCTATGCCCTGTATCACGATTCTATCTTTTGGTGCTAGTGGCTTCTTAAGAATAAGAGCTTTGGGCCCTCCCTGGTGGCGCAGCGGGCTAAAGAACTGCACTGAGAAGCTAAAGCCACTTCGGCATGAGATCGATTCCCGCCTGCCCCGGAGGAGTCCACATGGCGTGGCAGACCTCTCCTGACCCGCTCACTGCTCCCCTCAGCAGTGTACTTCCTCAATCTGCCTGCTCTGCTCCCCTCTCTGTCTCTGGTGAATCCTCTCACCTTCTGCATCTCTGGCCTGTACCCCAGCTCTATATGAATAAATAAAATCTTTAAAAAAAAAAAAGAATAAGAGCTTTGACTTATATTTCAAAATCAAATCACATGTAAATTAGATGCCAATCAATCTGTACCCAAAACTGTTTCAAAAAGTGTAGTTAAGAGTGTTGGGCCCTCCCTAGTGGTGCAGCATGTTAAAGCACGTACTATGAAGTTATCTACAGCCACTGCAGCACAAGTTCGATCCCTGGCCAGGGAGGTGACCTACATGGCACAGCAGACCTCTCCTGTGCTGCTCCCCTCAGCAGTATATTTCAACCGATCTGCCTGTTCTGCTCCCCACTCCTCACTCCCACACTTCTGGCCTGTATCCCAATTCTGTATGTACATACAAACCTGCCTACAGACGTTTGTACTGACAGCTGTGTGTGACAGTGTCTGTGCCTGGGCTGGTGTTCCTGGCTGGGGCCCAGATGGGCCAGGTTTCATCTGCTAAGCTGTGCACCCACCTTGGGGCTATGCTGTTCTAGAAGAAGAGGAGCCTTTTCCTATTCCCCTTAAGCCTCAGAGCTCCCCCTATTATGTTCAGGGATGCTTTCCTGCCAGAAGAAAAGAGAACAGTCCAAGTCAAAGCCTGGCCCTGGTGGAAATCGCAAATAAAAAGGGTAACTAAGGCCCTTCCTTCCTTCCTTTAGCCTGAACGTGAGGGCCTAAGGGAAGGCGCCCTCCATGAATTATAAATGACAACAAAATATCGTTCCCGAGCTCAATGGTCCTTAGGCGTTTTCTAGCCGGCTCTTTGCTTTGTCAGGCCTCAGGACAGACGGCTGGCTGCTTCTTGCCTTAGCTTCTCCACCTGGTTCGGGGGGAGCTTTCCAACTTCTCTCCTCTTTCCAGTTTCTCAACTGCTCCTCTACAGGAGCCTCCAATTAAGCCTGTGTTTCTACCTTCCAGCCCGGAAATCCCACGCCCCCGAGGAACCAGCCCATCAATCTGAACCACTATGCCACCAAGAAGAGCGTGGCAGAGAGCATGCTGGACGTGGCTCTGTTCATGTCCAACGCCACGAGGCTGAAAGCGGTGCTGGAGCAGGGCCCCTCCTCGCACTACTACACGGCCCTCGTCACCCTCATCAGCATCTCTCTGCTCCTGCAGGTGGTCATTGGAATCCTCCTGGTGGCCATTGGTGAGGAGCCCAGGCCTGGAGCGAGCTTCCAGGTCCCACAATAGAAGGAAAGGTCCCAGTGCCTCCCAGCAACACCTCTATGTGCCATGCCCACCTCCTACTGAACACTTGCCTGACCCTCTGCACCCACGGGTACCCCAAGACACCACCTTGTCTCTGGAGTCCCACAGAGCAAGCACTCCATAATACCTGCCGAGCAACCGTCCTCAGCGAACTCGGCACAGTTCCTACAGCCTCGTCATCGGCAGTCTTGGATGACCCAGAGCCTGTTTCTACTAAGTGTCACCTGGGGGGCCCCCTCCTTACGTACAGAGAGGGCAAAAGTCATGTCCAACCGCGGCTCCCACCCCCCTTATTGCTGCCATGCCATCTCTGAGGTGCCAGGTCTTTTCTCCCCTCGACGGACTGTCGGGATGCTCCAGGAACCAAGCTCCAGTGGCCCCATCTTGACCATACTCCCCCTCCCCGTCTCTCCACAGCTCGGCTGAACCTCAATGAGGTTGAAAAGCAGTGGCAACTAAACCAGCTCAACAATGCGGCCACCACCTTGGTCTTCATCACTGTGGTCCTCAACATCTTCATCACGGCCTTTGGGGCACATAAGACAGGTTTCCTGGCTGCCAGGACCTCGAGGAATCCTCTCTGACCACAACCTGGGGCCCAGGTGAGGGGGTGAGGGCTTCCACTCTGGGGGCTTGGTAAGAGCCTTGTCAAGCAGAAGGGGCAGTTACGGATCTGGGGCGAGGAGCCGGGTCTTGGATCTTGGGTTGGGACTCAGCAAACCTGCCGGTGCCTCGGGCTCTGTGAATGGGGCATTCCTTTTCTGTGCTGAAGCTGGTTTCTCTGTAGAGAAGGGGTGGGAAGTCATGTGGCTACCTCTACCCATATGGAGCTGTAGTGCTTGGCTCTGCCTGAGAGATGGAGATGCAGGATTTCTCCTTGGCAACCATCCAGCCTTCGTTGCTACTCAAATGGTGGGCCACGGACCAGCAGCATCAACACAGTTGTGGGGAAATTCTCCTGGGTCACTAGATCCGTGCTAGGGACAAGAACTAGCCTGAGCTGCCTTCCTCACGCCTCTCTGCTTCCCCGACAGGTACTGGGTGTGGAACTGCTTCCTCCTCTGGCCTGCCAGGTTGATGGGCACTTCCCACCACTCTGGGGGAAAGGTCCTAAGAGGACAGCTTGATGCCCGCGCTCCCCACCCACAGCACCTGAGTGCATCTGTTGGCTCACAGGCTCAGGGCGTTCCATGCTGGCCTGGAGTCCGCAGCTCTGGCCTGGAGTTGCCAACCCTTCCTCCTGGACCATGTCCATCTACCAAAGGCCCAGTATGCCCCACCCCCACCCCCAGAAGGTTGTGACTCCCTCCCCATCCACACCCTGTGCTCCAGACTGGCTTCCTCTTTCTGTAAAATGAACTAATTTCTATCTATAAAGGTTTCTGCAAATCCACCGTGAGTCAGTTTTTATGTCTCAGTTGTGAAGGCTCAAACATCCAGGTTAGTGTCTGGATACCAGTTTAATGCCATCTGGGCTCTAGATGCCCTCTCCAACTGTGTCCTGGAAAGGGTGCAGAGGAGCACACCCCAAATCTGGAGGGAGGAGAGGCGCCTGAATCACTCCCTCTCCTCTGGGGCCACTGAGTCAGGCCTGGGGGAAGGACCATCTGCAACATCGCAGGTCCTTCCACGGGAAGAAGCATGTGTGCACAACTCTTTCTAAGAAACTACTATAAACCTAGTCCTGCTTTTGTATTAGCACTGTCTCTTAGGCACATGGCTAAGGTCCAAACTAATGCTGAGCTTTGCCTAGGCCAAATATAAATAGCAAGGCAAACCTGTACCTTTAAAGCAGCCAAAAGAGAAACGATACTGTTTGCTGTATTAGCACAAGCCACACCTCAGTTCCTTCCCACTGGTCACCCAACTGTTCTCGTGCCATCTCTAGCCCTCTTCACCCAGGGGTCCACCAGCTTTTCTCAACTGAAGGCAGCAATCTGCCCAATAGAAAATGCCCAACCACCGGTGACTTCCTCAGGCAGAAAGGTCTCTTTCCCAAATAAAGGGCATGGGAGAGGGCAGTCTCTCACACAGCAGGTGCCAGACTAGTGGCAGAGGATAGAGATGGTGTGAGGAGACACTGCATGTGCACCAAGGTCCCGCAGCAGGGAGATCCACCTTGGTCTCGCAACCAACCCTGTCCCACCAGAGGGCACCAGGAAGACACAGAGCCATCCTGCTTTCTAAGAAGATGCTGTATTTACCACCTTCCCGACCCTCCCCCTCCCAAGACATTCCCCAACAGAGTAGGAGGCTTGCCAGGCCTACCCCTAAGGCAGATGGTGTGGAGGTAACAGACATCAAACAGAAGGCACTGGCTGGGGCAGGCTGGGCTGGTTCAGGCTCACAGAAGTAAGGGGCTGCTCGGGCTGGCTCGGTGCTCCAGGTGGGATGCCCAAGGGTGGTAGTGGCGCCAGAAAGAAACCTGGTTTCTTCTCTCCCCTGTCAGTCAAGACAGCTCCCCATCCCCCTCCCAACCCCTTCCCAGAGGCAGGGTTCCTGAGCAGGGACCATGACCGGGCAGTGATGGCATCTGTAAGCTAACCTATCCAGTGAAGTCTTTGTCCTTCCTGATTTTCTAGGGGAAGCAGGGTTTCTCCCCAACACCCAGAAGGTTCTCAATAGGTAATTCTCCCATATATCAAGCTAATGATCATGGATGCAGTGCCCCCAGGTAGACGCTGAAGCTCCAAAGCAGACTGGATTCTGCTACAGCATGGAGCTTGGGCTCAACTGACGGGCTTCCTGGGCCCTGCTACACCCCCAAACCCTGCCTCACAGCAGGGCCCTGGGCTCACCCCCTGAAACAGACACCGGGATCCAAGACCCAGTGTCCAATGCACCATTAGTGAACTCAGCAGCAGCGGCAGAGGCAGCAGCAACAGGAAAATCCCCAGCCAGCCACGAAGGCACCTGGGGGTTATTAGTGCAATGTAAGTACACGATCGATCGCCAGGTGATGCAGTGTGACGGGGGGGGGGGGGGTAAGAGGCCAAGGGCTGCGTTCCCTGAAGTGGCTTCGCTGTTCAGTTCCTCCCACCTTCTGACTCCCCTCCAGGAGAGATGTATCAGAGCAAGGCCCTCACCTCCCCAAAGCCGGCCTCCTGCCCTCTCCTGACCCTAGCCTGGGTCGCCCCATCCGCTCTTCCACTCCAGGCTGGGAAGTCTCTGGGGAAGCCAGGCTGCGAGGTCTCAAGTTTTCCACTTCCCTGTCACCCCTCCTACTGGGCCCCACCCCCTTAACCTATCTAAGCTGTGGTTTATGTCCACATCTCTTTCCTCTCTGCTTCCGCTCCTCCCCTAGGCCTCAGCTTACGGAGGAACTGGGTAGGGAAGGGGGCTTCTCTTCCTTGCCTCGTCCTCTTCGGTTCTGCTCTGCTCTGCCCAGCTGCCAGACACTGGGACAAGGCCACTGCCCACCATTCCCTGTCTCCCAGCCCCCATGGCACCCGGAACAGGCCAGGCCAGCTCTGTGCTTCTGGTCTGCAGTGAGCACTGCCTGAGCCGTGCCCTAAATGGTGGCCAGCTGTCAAGTGGCTACCAGGGAGAGATGTGTCTCTGGAAGGCACAGCCTGGTGGAGAGCTGGGACTGTTTCCCATGGGGCTGGCCCGCGGGGTCAGAAATCAGCTGCCAGTCAAGGACGGGGGGCCACACCTCTACACAGGAGTGGGTCTGAGGTATGCAAGTGGGAACGCCCACCAAATGCATCTCCTCTCGCAGTCAATGCTGGGTCTAGACAGTAACAGTTTTGGCTTTCTGTTAAAAACAAAAACCCCAATAATAAAGTAAGTCCAATCAAGGTTTCCAGTTCAGTTCCTGGTGTGTGCCCCGTCGGAGGACAGTGGGTGCAGATGGCACCTTCACGGAAACGGCCGGTACCACGCAGGCAGGTCTTTTCTTCCTGGACCTTGCTGCCCTCCCTGGGAGCACCCCATCTCTGTCCACCTGGCGTGATGCCTGAGTGGCCCCTCGACGCCCTCCCTGAGTCCTCCCTTGGAGGCCCAGAGGAGGAGAGAGGGCTCCAGGAGGCAACAGCTCCCGGTGGAGTGGGGTGGATCTCTGAGCCTGCGGGGCCCAGCATGGCCTCTGCTCCCCTTCCCTCTCCTTCGCCAGAAATGAGCAGAGGCCCTGAGAGCAGCTGCACGTCAAGGGCAGGAAGTGGTCGGTGCAGCGGGCCACCCCCAGCGTTACAGCGTCTTCATCTGGCGGCGGTTCCACATGCCCCGTTTGGAATGGAAGTGATGGAAGAAGTTCCTGAGGGACAGACGTTCCACTTCCAGGCCGGCTTGGAGGATCCTGAAGAGGGAGGGCAGGATAAGCAGCCGAAGCACAAGGGGCCTCTGCGGAGAATCTGCCCTCCACGGCTGCCCAAGTCCGTCAGCCCCGCCCCTACGGCCCGTCAGCCCCGCCCCTGCGGCCCGCCAGCCCCGCCCCTGCGGCCCGCAAGCCCCGCCCCTACGGCCCAGCTAGCCTTTCACTCAGGCAGGGCGGGAAAGGTGTGGCCCCCAGTGGGCTATGGAGGCAGACAGCCCGAGTCTCAGTCCCAGCTCCACACCGGGCAGCCAGTTATCCAGAGCACCAGCTGGCCACCCTCAGAACGAGGATAAGGAGGGGCAGACACGGGCAGGGGTGCTAAGAGCAGAGTTGATGGAAGCCGGAGCTCAGCCCCACCCCCATTCCCAGCACCCAACAGCTGGAGCTCAGCCAGCCGGTTGGCGGCTCAGGGCAGTTGTGAAGGGAGGTGGGGGGTTCGCAGACAGGGTGCCCAGCCTCCCCCACCCCATTCTAGATGTGCCGCCCCCGGGAGTCCCCCTCACAGAGGGACCTGTTCTTCCTGCCAGGTGGAAGTCACTGGAATTTGTGGTTTCTTGTTAGGCATCAGAGAAGGCAGGAGGGTAAAGAACTGAGCTGGAGCCCTGGCCAAGGGTGGAGGGAACCGAGCCAGCCCCCCCCCATTTGCTCTGGGACCCCCAAGTTTATGAGAGCTGGGTTGTCTAATAGGTGCTCCTTTCTGTGCATCTTAAATTCTCTCAGAGTTGTAGTATTACTCTTTTCTGCCTGTTCTTTCTTGCCCCCCAGGAAAAAATATCGGTAGATCTGGCTTTTACACCTGACACTCTCCAGCTGTGAGAGTTGGAGCCTAGTTACGAACTTTTCTTCAAGACTCATTTTTCCCATCTAGAAAATGGAGACAATGACCCCTTGCAAAGCCCGGGGGAGGGGTGAACAAGGTGAGGGATGTAAATCACCTGCGCTTACAGACTCTTAACTGATCAAGAGTTAAGACTTACTGATTAACAGGGTTGCCCTGGTTCTCAGTACCAGGAGTCTCTCTTCCCTGCCAAGGTCCCTGCTCCCTGGGTGCTCCTGGCCCTGTCCACCTCCCCTGGACCCTGTTCCAGCAATTATACCCTTTCCTTCTTAGATTTCCCCCTCCTCCGACCTCACCCCTTAAGCTTAAATTTCTTGGCATCATCCTTTTTCCACCCCCTTCTCTTGGCCTTGCATTTCTTAAAGTTTGGAGCCTCATCCTAAGGCAGTGTCTGCCTCCTTACCAAGTCCACAACTCACGTCCTGCCCAGCCTTGCTGCCTACAACGTTTCTGCCCACCGGCCAAGCTGGCAGCTGGCACCGAGTTCTCCTCTGACATTTCCTCCTGCCCCAAGCCCCAGTCTCCCTGGGCTTCCTGGGTACCTTATTGCTCTTTAATAATGCGCACTGTCTTGCTGGCCCCTCCGCCTCCCTGGTTCTATGCCTGTGGCTCTCCCAGTCATTCCCACAGCTTGCAGCACAGCAGCTGTGGAGGGGAGAGAGCTACCTTCCAGTGTGGGCGGCTGTAGTCAGCTTCTCCCTGGTGCCTTGCTTGGTGCTGCGAACACTGCCGTTTGCATTTACACTCTCAACAGTTTTTGCTTTTCCCCTGACAGTTTACCAGGCACTTTCATTTCCCTTCCAGCCCTGTAACACAGAGGCGGTATCATCTCTACAGTTCTGGAAACTGAGTCTCAGTGAGGTTAAGTCATCTGACCCCCGAGCAAATGAATGGGCTTCCTCCGAAGCCGGTGTTCATCGCTGTGCAGTCTAGAAAGACCAGGCCCAGCTGGGTGAACTCTGTTCTCTGCCCAGACACCTGACAGGATGGAATTCCAGCAAACTGCTCAAATCCCCCCTTCCCGGTCACCTGTCCAGCAGCTCCCAGTCTTCCCCGCCCCAGCGGTCTCGGAATTCCTTGGTGTTCATGCCCCCAATCCTGTCCAGGTCTGACTTGTAGATGCCCAGCAGTCCAAATCCATTAACCTCCCAGTAGCCTGCAGACAGACAAGAAGCTACAGGTGAGATGCGCCAGAGGCCAGGAGGAAGGAACAAAGTCTTCAGGTGTGCCTTCGGGAGTCTCTTCTAACAAAGGATGGGGTGGCGAGATGAAAAGTGGTCTCCTCTGTTGGCCTGTTTTGAGAGGCAGCTCCCTGAGTAAAAGCTCAGGGTCCAGTGAAAGCAGCAGGCCTGCCAGGGTGTGTCCATTTCCTCTTTATAGCCTCACGGGTAGTGTGACACCCAGTAAACGTGGGATGAATGAGTGGAGGGAGGATGGGGCCAGAGCTGGTCTTTGCAGCTCAGCCCTCAGCACGGTCCTCTGGTGGACTGTCCAGGTGAGCAGAGGCTGCAGGGGTGTAGGGGAAGCAGGGCCTCTGCCTTTATAGCCCTGGGTGTTTCCAGCTCTTGGGTTCAAAACCAAGGCCAGGGAGGTCCTCCCCAGCCTCCTGAACCCAGGGCCAGACTCACCCTCAGGCCACTGGGGAGTGGCCCCGCAGTGCAGCCTCATGACCATGGGGGCAAAGGCCATCTTGCCCTCCACACAGTGCTTCCGGATGGTATCAATGACTCCGTCTGGGAAGTGGATGTGGAGGTCACAGAGGAAGATGATGCTGTGTGGGTCCTGGGGACAGATGTGGGAGTGTCAGTGGGACTGCAGGCAGGGCTAGGCGGGCCAGCACAACCTCAGCCTCCCTTCTGTCTGAATGAGCCACAGACAGCAGGTCAGGTCCCCACGTTACTGGGCACCAGTTATGATCAGAGTGAATTCTGGCGCCTTCCCCCATTCTTGGTGGACTCAGGGACTCTGGACAAATGTTCCACTGTCATTGCTTAGTCCTCCCCGGCACTGGCCCAGCAGCCTCGCAGAGACCAGCCTGCCCTTCCCCCACCCGTCCCTATTCCCTTCCTCCTTGAGGAGCTGACCACCTTACACATCCCAAAGGTCTCGCTCCCTCTCCCAAGCCCCACCCAACTCACTTACCTTCACCAGGTCTATGCCAGCCTGAAGTCCAGCCGAGCGCTCGAAATTTCCACTTAGCTTCAGGTACTGGTAGCTGCAGGGAGAGGAGAAAAGCGGAGCTGAGTACCAGCATCCAGCTTTATGAGCTCTGGAGGAAGTTAGCACGCAGAGATGACGTGTGCCTGTGGAATGGGATCACGGCAGGTGTGTCTGGGGGAGGGGCGCTCCTGGCCCCGCCCCATCCCAGCAGGTCTGAGAACTCAGCAAAGAGGTGGCCCAGGCGGCACCCCAGCCACGCAGCTCCTCACCTTCTCAGCTTGGACATCTTCAGGGCCATCTCGACAGCCATGTCCTCACTGCTGAAGTCAGTGACAATGACGTTGAAGTGCGGGTCTCCGGTGACCTGGAACAGCTTCTCCATGTCTCTGATGAACTGTTGTACCCACCGCGCCTGGTTCTTTACTACCCAGGACGGGCAGACAGGGAGAAAGGCGCAGAGGTAAGGCAAAGGCCTCGCCCCCCTGGCTCCTGTGCAGGTCAGGAGTCCTACAAGACCACCGCCCTGGGGAGAAGGTGGCCACGGGCCGCCATCGGCGTGCAGTCCAGCAAGGAGAGCTCAGCTGTCAAAGGGGCCTCGACACCCAGCTCCTGCTCCCGCAGGGCCCTGTGGGACGGGCTTGGCCCGGCCTGCCCTCAGTAATCTCTGGCTGGCCCTCAAACCTTGTACCTGTCCATCTGGTTATGACCCTTCCCGTCCACCCCCCACGCCCACCCCGTGACACTCCCCTGTCTCATAACAGCCAGCTAACCCTCCTGTCTTATTTTCCAGAGAGCGGTAACCCCCAGCAGACCCACCAGGTGGAGGTCACAGCCCCTGAAACCTGGCCCAGCCTGGCCTGGCCACAGGCCGACAGGTGGGCCTCTATCCCAGCACTGACACAGCTGCCCACGGGACCGCAAGCTTAGGAACCTTCTTTTGCGAGCCTCTGCTGCGTGGCCGCCTCCCTCTTTGTGATAGCAAATCAGTGAGCAGAAATCTGGGTGCTCAGGATGACCGGCAAGACCCCCGCTCTGCTGCCAGCGCCCAGGCTCGGGGTGGGGCTCACCAGGCACGATGAAGTGGACCACGGCTCGGTGGTTCCAGGAGAAGCCCTGGGGCCAGCACAGCTTGGGCTCTGGGCTCCGGACACTCAGGACCTGTCTCCGCCGGGCGCGTTTATCCCAAAGCAGACCCTGCAGGTTCCGGGCCTCGGGCTCCTCCGCGGCCGCCGAGTCGAGGCCCAGCCAGCCTCGCGCAGACACATACTCGGAGAGCCGCACCAGGCGCTGGCCTTGTTCCAGCAGCTCGAGCTCCAGGAGGTAGCGACCCCCCTGGAGCTGGTCCTGCCGCTTCTCCACATTCACAATGCGCTGCAGCTGGTACCTCCTAAAGCGGAAAGGGCGGGGCTGGAGGCACTGCTCCCCACGTGGGGAAGCCAGGTGGGAACAGGCCTGCGGGAGACGGGAGACCGCTGCCCTGGGTCTGCCTGGCTCTGTGTCAGATGCTTACCCTGGCCAGGCTCTGAAAACGCACCTGCTGAGGGCCTCCCCGGTGGCGTAGGGGTTAAATCTCAGCACTACCACTGTGAAGCTCACCCTGTCGGCCTGGGTTCCATTCCGGCCAGGTTGCTGACCCACAGGGCACAGCAGACCTCTTCTGCCTCGCCCGCTGCTCCCCTCAGCAGTGTACTTCAATAATCTGCCTGTTCTGCTCCCCACTCTGTCTCTGGTGAATCCTCTCACCCCCACCTCTGGCCTGTGCCTCAGTTCTGTATGCAAAAATGAGTAAATTTTAAAAATAAATACATAAAAGTGACGAGAATACATACATCATTCTGAATATACGTAAAGTCACTGAATTATTCTCTAAAAGGGTGAATGAAATACTAGGGAGTTTTATCTTAATCCAAGAAAAGCTGATTGATTAATTGATTTAATGAATGACAAAGAACTGAAGCCAGTTCTTCAGCCTAGCCTGTCCAGCCTTAATGAGGTATCTGAGCCTCAACTTTGCCTACTCTGTCTCTGGATCAGCTCCTTCCCTGAGAGAGGGAACCACATCTATCAAGCCTCCCCAGTGCCTGCACCAGGCACCAGGTATTGCATAACCTTGGTCCTGTCAGGGGACCAAGAACAAAGACCTGCCTGGTCAAGGTCACCTCTGCGGAAGCCTGCAGCGGGAGAACCTGCTCCAGCCCCCAGGCCCCTGCCCAGCCCTGGGCCGCAGGAGAGCCCTTTACCTTACCCCCGGATCCTCTGGTTGAGCTTCTTCAAGAAGACCCGGGTGACCTCCAGGGCTTCCTGCTCTGGAAGCAGCAGGTTGCCAGACGTGTTACAATTCAGATCAATCCAGTCTGTCCGCAGGGCTTGGAAGTCCAGGTTCCGGGCACTGAAGGTCTGGTCCCAGTTTACCACGGGGTCAAACATGGGCACGTACTCGAACACCTCACTCACATCCTCTTCCTCTTCCTCTTCCTCCCCGTCTTCCTCTCCCCCCACCTGTCCCTCCCGCCCTATAGCTGTTACGGCCTCCTCCTCCTCCCCCTGCCATCCCTCCCTAGGAACCAGAGGCTCCACCCTTTCCCCCCTTCTCTGCTCTGCAATGTACGACTCGACTTGATTCAGCCACTGGGACTGTCCTAGCATCTTCCTGGGGCTGTCACCAGGGGGCCTGGGCTTCCTCATTCGAGGCAGGTTCCCTGCCAGGTGCCCAGTGGGTGACGAGTCAGAATGAGGTGGGTCTGGGCTGGGCTCCGGGCTGGGCTTTCTCTCCCTATGCTCCGGCTGGTGGACTGGGGCGTGGCTGGTCCTCACGGGGAGGGGAGCTGTCGAGTTGTGCTTAGAAAGGGGTGCCCGCAGACGCTGCCGGGACTGGGCCAGCAGTTTCCGCAGGCTTTGGAGGCGGTAGTCAGTGACGTCCTGCCCGGGGGTGGAGGGAGGTGCTTGCTTCCTCTCTGGCATCCTGGCATTCTGGCCATCCAAGACAGGGCTCTCGTCTGCCGCTTCTCCATACTGGGATTCTTCTAGAAGGACTTCCTCAAAACCTGTTAGGAGTAACAACCATGCCTCACATCAGGGGTTTCAACTCTTCCCCAACAATCATACTAGATAGCCAAGGAGCCTGAGAGAGATGCCCTGAGGGGTGTCGCACTGAAGCTGCACCCCTATTATTGCCATTCATTTATCGTGTGACCCTGGGAAAGCGACCCAACCTCAACCAGCCCAACTTCACCTTCCATGGGGTTGTTGTGAACTGGGTGACATAAGGCACCCAGCAGGTGCCTGGCTCATACAAGCACCCAACAAATGGCCCCATTTACACCCTAATTCCTTAAGAAAAAAGGTCACAGGAAGACAGTCCTTCTCTATAGCAGAAGTTCCCTAAGGATGTGCCAGGGACAGCAACAGCCTCCAGCAGCCCCGGCAACTCAGACTGACCCCAGCACGTGGCAAGTGCTTTCTACATGTGCCTTGAAATGGAGATGCAGAGTGTTGCTGCATGATTAGTTGGGGGTGGTGGTGAGGGATATATAGTTTGAAGTTTAGACTCCTCGGGAGCAGGCAGGCATGGTCTGAGCGACAGACGACGCTCCCCCTTGCCTGACTGGGCACCTCAGCTGTTCTCTGTACCTGGCTGCTCTGGCTCCTGCTTCTCTGGCTGATCAAGCTTGATGTACTCCTGAAAGCTGAACCTGCGGGAGGAAGGGGGGATGCTGGCTCATGGTGCCTGAGGGCGATGCGTGAGGCTCTGCTGGAAGTCCCAGTGGGGGCTCAGAGGCAAGTCCCAGAGCAGAGTGAAGACAGGAGGAAGGAGGCTTGAGGTGGAGCATTGAGATGGAGAGAGAGAGAGAGAGAGAGTGTGTGTGTGTGTGAGAGAGAGAGAGAGAGAATGTGTGTGTGACAGAATGTGTGTGTGTGAGAATGTGTGTGTATGAGAGAGAATGTGTGTGTGTGTGAGAGAGAGAGAG